TTTGGTAGGACGTTGGACCCCTTTGCAGTGGTGGACCCTTGGTTTGCATATCTAAACATTATCTGAAATATATATTCCTACAATCGGTGCATGTGAGGAGTCCTCTTGTAGGATGTTCTGAGGATAGCGTTTGTTTGTTTTTAGTTTGTTTCTTTTGCTAACTTTCTATTGCTTTGGTTTGTTGGATGATCGCTTCTTTTCTATTCTGAAATTTAGTTGTTTATTTAGCCTATTTTGTTCTCCAAGTGGTGTCTTAAATTTCTAAAGAGATAGTCTTGATTTTCTTGTTCTCTCTTTGTGTTTTGCTTCAAGTTTGTTTCAAGTTGAATACATCAGAGGTCGGCGGCTAGAAGGTCCAAAGGGACCGGCGGATATGGGGTTTGGTGGCCGGCGGGTGGCTAGGGCTTGAGGAGGCCGGTGGTGGGATGTGGGGTTTTCGGGTTTGGGGAAGGAGCAAGAGGTGGCCGGCAGTATGGAGGAGGGAAAAAGGAATAAGAAAGAAACAAAAGAAAGGTAGAACCGAGATCCCAAACCTTCCGGCGATTGTCGGGTTTTGTTTTGGCCCTCTCCTAGGGTGATCTCTCCTCTCTGAAGCACACAAGCAACAAGAGCAAGAAAGAAAACTGAAATTTGTCTATTCATTCATCATCCTTTTACAACACATGAGACCACTATATATAGGTCTGAAATATGAAAAAGAAAAGTACATAATTGCCCTCCGGGCTACAATAACAAAACACTTCCCCATAGAGGTAAATTTGAAAAACAACAAAACTAAATAAAACATAAAGAAATGCATCAAAAGTAGAGACGATGAATCGTATCTGTCGATCTACGATTCCGTTGCCGGTACACGTGTCTGAATCTCTGAACGATGTCCTCATTAGAATTAATGAACATAGTCAAGTTGTTATGTGTGTTAAATTATTTGTTCATATATTGTGGCTTAAGACAACTGTTGTTATATTGTTGTATGTATTAGCTTACATTTTAAGTCATTAAAGGGTTATAAGAATATTTCATGAGTTTTTTATACAACAAGGGTGCATTATAATGTCACATGGAGTGAGGGAAACCATCGGATAAAATCACAAGTTGAGAATGGCTCTCCAGGGCTCTCCATATTGACTCTTAATTTGGTGGGGATCACATAGTGACTTGAACACTTCAACTCATCATCCCCACCATCCAAGAAGTCAAGGCAACCCACTTTCATTAAAAGAAGAATTGGCCTCCACATCACCAAATAACCCCCCAAACACCACCGACATTCAAATAACCACCACTCCAACTATTTGTAATTTAACTTTTCTGTAAAAGCCTGTAGGAAGGATAAATAAAGTGCACAGAATGAATTTTATGAATTATTATTGAACATTTGAAAAGAAAATTACAAGTATTTCTATATTTTTTTCTTTCTTAGATTTGGAGGCCTATAGGTGCCCTTTAGTGAGGGCTTAATTTTTTTTCTTTTGTATATTTTTCAGTAGTTCCTAATATAATACTTAATAATGCTTCTCACACATGTCCTCTACCATGAACAAAAATAATCTAGCCATCTTCTTGAAAAAAAAAAAGAAGAAAGCCCATTGAGAATACATCAGACATTTTAGGTTTTCTATGATATGGTCTTAATTTTGCTTCAACCTAAAATCCGTTCGAAAAATCTTATAAGCTCCAGACTAAATGACAAATATCCCCACACTACTTTTAAGTGTTTCTATCCATTTCACAAAAGAAAGTTTTAAAGAAATAGGGTCATGCGTCAAGTTGGTCATATTAGGGTTTCTAAGACCTAGTCTTGCTTTTGCTACCAGTTGACCACTCTGACCTTGTTACAAAATCTCCAAAGACTCTACAATCATCTAAAAGCATGATTCAATCATTTCCAAGGGTTCCTAAGGTCATTAAAGCCAACTTTCGCAAACTTTAATTTCCTAATGACAAGAACAAACCCTAAGCCAAGGGAGGTCTCCTTGTTTAGCCGACCCTAGCCACCCCACTACAACCTGGCACTCCACCATTTTCAACCCTAGGGTTCCTATGGGATATTAGACAATTCCTATAGCAAATAAAAGACATTGGGTTATTCAGATCCAAGGCTCCATCACTCAACCCCTGAATTGTGAATCATAAGGCGCACTAAATAAGACACTAAACTCTCTATCAGCTAAGATCAACTTAAAATCATCTCCTTAAGCAAGCATCAACTCAAGTTTATTAGGCTCCCTTAGATAACACAACCCATAAATGATAATAAGGACCTATCAAGCTGGGTCGACTACCTTAGTTAACTAAGAAGAACAGGATCCATAACAACCTAATATAATAGAATCATAGGCAAATGATTGAGTTTGTCATCACCCCCCACCGTCCACTCTAAAAGCTACTAGCAGTAAATTTCCTCTAATCTTAATCCAAAATATTAGTATTATAAGTTATGTATTCAAATTTCAAAGCCTACCAACTAGCCTTAATAAAAAATTCTCTCTCATGATCAAGAGGGATAATTAACTATAGTGCTTATAACTATGGGGAGATCTCAAACAATATCATAAAGTCCTTGAAAAATGATGGATGGTGAAATATTTAGGTAATCTTATATGAAATCCAATCTATCTACAAGACATTTAATCAAGAACCATCTCACAAAAAGCAGAGAATGAATCCTCGAAGCCCAAACTTGATTGTTAAGATTAGCGTCGACATTTCAAATGGGGAAAATAAATAAGCTTTTTTATGTTGAAAATTTGGTGCAATGTAAGATTAAAAAAATTATAAGTTTAAGAAATAATGATGTGAAATAAAAAATAAGGTAAATCAAATGTAAGAGCAAGAAAGATTTAAGTACAAAAAATAATAATAATGAAATTGAACAATCTAAAGAGAAAGATGAAAAGATGAGGGACTACAAAGTTTACAATATAAAAAAAGCATCAACGATGATGAAGATGGAATAGATAATAGTGGAGATAGATTATCCCTGGATTATGCATACCACAAAATTAAGTAGTTTAACCTCTTGAATATTCTTGCTGGTAGTTTATTTGAGATAATTCATTTAGCAGCATTTTAGAATTTGGAATACACAAAAAAGTTGTCAAGCTTATTATTTTGCCTATAATATAGCTAAAGTTGAAATGAGCCCAAAGATTAAATTATACCAGGACTACGCATGATACATATTTAAGTATTTTATCTTGTTCAAATTTTAAGGATGTCTTTTGACTATTTTAGTTTAGATAAATTATTTAGCTAGATTTGAAACTTGGAATATACCAGAATTTTTCAAATTTACTTTTGTGCATAACATAGCTAAAACCATTTTGTACTCTAAAAATTCTACATAGATGAGCAAACCAATTTATAAAGTTTTTTTTTTTTTTTCATTGCCAACTCCTGACATCATCCGGTTGAGCACCTAGTGCGGCACTTATTGACCCAAGAGTTCGGTATTAATATCGCCTGTCGGGAGCTTAAGAGTTTTTAATGAAACTAATCTATGAACTATTTACTGTTACAATTACCTATATCTTCATTGTAAACTCATTAGACTTCACCATTAAATGACTTGAAAAAAACATCTGGCTGTAATCAAGTCCATTCAAAGAGAGTATCAGAAAAAAATGAACCAAGCTGTAATAAAAGTTTAAAAAAAACATTTTAGAACCAAGCTGTAGATCTGCATTTCCACTAAAGAAACGTAGAAAAGAAAAACTAACCTTTCGATGATATGAAAAGGGGCCCGCTCTTGAACACCTGCAAATTAACTCAAATTGTTACAAGAGATAAAAATTGAGAAAAACATCTTGAACACATTTTTCCCGATACAAAGTACCTTTCAAAGTATTTTATGTGCAAGATTTGAAAATCCAGTTAAAGTTGTGCCAGTCCCTTAGTTAAAGACAATGTTTCTATAATTTTAATTGTTTCGACAATTTTTGTGTTAGTTTTGGTTTCACTTTTATTTTTTGTTAAAAACAAATAAAGAAGAGCATTCTAAAATATTACATTTAAAACATTATTTTCAATAAATTATAATATTAAAAAAACATTTTAAACATAAGATAAAATAGATTCCAATTCTCCAATTATTAATAACCATATAAAATAGAATCTCATCAAGTTAGAAATATAGTTAATATTCAAAAGATTTTACTAAATATAAATTTAGTCTATTCCTTAATATAAATTATCATTATTTTCATAATTTATTTTTGACAGACCATCCAAATATGAAGGAATCACCATACTGAGCATCTAAAGATTTAATGCGGACAAATCTAAATCAGGTGCAATTCCAATCTTAAATTTTAAACAATTAAAGATGACTAGCTCACTGTTCTAGAATGAGAAGGAATGTAATTCGGGCACAATTCCAAATCAATTCAAGCCATTTTTTATGTTAACTATCATTAATTTAATAATTCATTATATGAAGATATGACTATACTAAGAATAGAAAAAATAAGTTAATTTTTTCTCTTACAAAGGTAAAGATGAATAGATCAACAATATAGAATGGAATAGAATGCGAAGGGATGTAATTCGGGAGCAATTCCAATCTAAAATTTCAAGTTCACATTTATTATTATTTGATATGATTATTCAAAAAAAAAGCTTTTTCATGATTTACAACTAAGCAATAAGACTTTCTAGGGCAGAAATTTCACCCCAAAATAGACCACCACCACAGATTTCAGATTAAAACTTTAAAAAGAACAAATCCTATTCATTCCCAATTAATATTAATTCCTTAATAAAATATTTAAAATCATGAAACATTGAAAAAGGTGCTTTATCTGTTTTTGGTTTCATCGCTTATTAAGAAGGCCTAATATTTAGGCAACGTTTGGGTGCTCAATTAAGTAATAAGCCGAATACATAAACTAGATAATGAGAGAAAGCAACTAACAACTAAAATAAAAAAATTACAAATTTAAATAAAAAAAAACCATAGAAACAATGCCCTGCAATAAGAAAAAGATACTAAACTTCAGCTTAAAATCTATTTCTTGCAAGAGTTTGAATGCTAAACCTACACTTTAGAGATCAAAGACTTACCACTCAAAAAAGTATAAGAATCAAGGCAGCATGATTCAAAAGCGTGAAGCTAAAGCATTTGCAATCTCATTTTGGTCATCCTAGTAAAATATATACTCCAAAAAAAAATCAAAAGAAAACAAACATTTCCTTCTCTTAATTCAAGACAAATATTGAATGTAAATCTAACTTGAATCACAGCTACTAAAAATTATTATATATTTAATGCCAACTTGATAATAAAGTTAGAAAATATTATTTTAATGACAAAAGAAACCTTACAACTACAATAAAAAGGATACAAATTGGATCTACAAGAAATATGGTACTCCTGTTGATTGCTTGCACTTCCAAGTGTAGAGTAGCATATGGAACCAAGTGGTGGTCATAATGGAGAGTTACACGAATAACTATAATTTATGCAAGGTAAGTTCAATAAAATGGACAAGGTTTCTACATCTCTGAGCAGTTCACTAGAGCACAAAATTTTATTTCGATTTGGCGACTTATAGATAGAACTGATTATTACCAAACTAAATAGACTTACTTTAAGTTAATGACAATTTGTATCCCAATTTGCCTTTGTAGAGCTCAATTGTTCAATAACCATCCTAGCAAATAGAAACAGCTATAGTTGCACGATACATAATACTAGTAAGGATGTCTAAGTAACTAGACTTATTAGGAATTTAACACATGATTCCATCCCATAACTATGTCCAAATATTAAGTAACCTGCCTTTATAAACTCAAATCAAGAGGTGAGGAATACGAAGTGATCCCTATGTCATGTCAATGTCATCATAAGGCATCATCATCATTAACCTTATCTAACTACTTTGGATCAGCTTTATGAATGTTCCAACTACATTCATTCGGGTTGAGTCAATAATAATGTGTTGAATTTATCTTGCACAAGTCTTTTTTGCTCAGTTTTACCATTAACTATGGCCCATGCATTTTTCCATCCAAATCCTTTCCATTAATTGTCTATCCACGTTACTAGTGCATCTTTTGTCCTTCTTTGCAGATGTCAAAATCACATAAATTTCTTACACTACCTTGTCTTCAAAATGTGTTACTCCGACTATTTCTCTACATATCATTTCGCACACTAATCATGTTAGTGTTATTCCATCATAAATTCACAATTCTCAATTTGGTTATCAATGACTAGATTGTATTTCAACACTCAAAAAGATAAAGCTTAGCCAATCTAATTGGAAGTTCCTAAACTTACATTCAAATCCCCCAAGTATTATGTAACAAATTGCGCAATATGAGGCTACTTATTTCTAAAAATTGTATATAATATAATTTATATTTAATCAAGGCTACTTATTTCCAAAATTGTTTAAATTTGCGCAATATGAGGCTCGTCTTGAGGCCCTCCTCAGCGCAATTCTAGTGGAAAATGCATGGAGGCTTATGCCTCAAACTTTTTTTATGAGGCTTGCACCTTAGCTTGGCTGAGGTCTACCTTGAGGCACGCCACACCTCGCTAACGTGAGGTTTACGCCTCACCCTATTTATATATACTTTTATTAAAAATTAAAATCATAAACTAAAACCCCGAATAAATCACGCTTTAATGCCCCCCCCCCTCCCCCCAAGCTGCAGCAACTTCCTCTAAACTGTCTTAACCTCCAGCCCTCCATTTTCTTTATAGTCACCATCATCGTAGCCACCGTCATGGATCACCCGCACACCACCACCACTTCTTCTAAAATTTTAATAGTATTAATCTCATCTTTATATTAATGAAAACATTTATGAAAGAGAAAATTGACTAAAATAAAAAAGAAGCAAATTGGGAGACATTGGACTTCATAGGATGAGAGAAGGGAGAGACCAATTTGTTGTTATGATGGCGACTCAAATAAAGATCCCCTTAATGATAACAGTGCAGATGATTTCTAAGTTTTTGTCAACTATCTCATTTTTCTTTAGGAATTAAGTATATATGAGTAGGGAACTGAGAAAGAAAAAAATTTGGAGTTGAACTTGATATTATATGATTTTTTTATGTCATTCATATATTTAATATTATTTTGCTCTTGTAATATTTAAATTTCAATTCTATTTCAAACAATTTATCACTTGTCACTTTACGTCTTGTGCAATTTTTTATTTCATATGTATGTCAATTTGTTAATTCATGATTCAATAGAAAGGTAACATGTCATCATTTAACATACTATTTGGGTATTATATAAAAATCACTTTTAATATTTATTTTGACTTAATGCAATTTTTTGGTTTTGCAAAACGCCTTGAGGCTTACACCTCACCTCACAAACAAAAAAACACTCAATACCCAATTGCGCAATTTTAAATCTTGATTTCCAAAAAATATACTCCATTGTTCTAATTGTTTACTTACTTCAAATAGTCTCGCACAAATATCATACACCAAGGTAACTCATTTTAAATAAGCATCTTTGCATCTAGCATAGAAGAATATTCAATGATCTTTTATGTTTAAATGGATAATAGTGTAGTAGTTGAAATATGATGGAAGACCCAAACACACATGTAGGGTGTGTAGCACATATTCCGCACAATCAAAGTTATAATATGATCGGTTTTAGAAAGCAAAGTACAAATAAACAATCACTAAATAAAATCTTATGGTTATACCTGAATGAATCATACTGCAATCTAAAACAAGCTGGCCAATTTAAGTTATTGATTTATTATTACACATCACAAATAGGTCCAAAATAACTTAGATGTTGTTTTCACCTTAATACCCACCAAATAAATTCTCATACTGCTCAATCATGTTTTTCAAGACAATTAAGAGCCATAAAAGATTATTTTGTTGCTTTAGAACTTGCTCATTAATTCTTAGCACAAAAAACAACTTTATAATAGTTCCTCCACACAATAACAAATTTGATTCTCTAATATTAGCATGATTTTCTAAACCTATGTTCTCTATTATGAACTTCCATAATTATGTTGCATAACTCAAAAGTTTAAGTGTTTAACTCCATAAAATTATCATAGTCATAAAAGTCTGGTACCAAATACTTTTCCAATCATGCGGCTTCACTTATCCTTTCATATTTCATTTAAATATTTGTTAACTAAATTAATCCAACCATGTATCTTCACTTAGCATTTATGTGTTCTACTCCAATTAAGATGCCATTTTAAGTCAGTATCAACCGAAGGAAATATTTAGCTTTTGATGTAAAGTTTAAGAAAAGAATTATGCAAGACATACATTAACCAAACCAACTTGGAGAACATATGGTAGGGTTGAAATAAGATGAATAGTAATGTGATATCATTGCCATTTTCTGTTTAGTTTTTGGGAAACATGGAAAAAGATGAGTGCTTTGAGAATAAGGGCATCGCTAGCTTGGGTTAGTCATAACCTAACCATGGCATGCTCCAGATTAGAGAAACTAGAAAAAGTATCCTTGAAAATCATGCCTAAACAATGGAAAAAGTATATGATCATTACAATTTCAAGTATTAACTTAGCATTTGGCTCCCTACAATACATCAACTAAGCAAAATGGTGCACTTTCAACACATATGACCGCCTTGCAGCAAAGAAATATGGAACTCCCCAACATAATTGAATGATTTGAGTTCTTCACTAATCAGGTTCTACTCTGTCAGGACTCATTTTCACTGTAAAATGCTCATGCAATTGTATCTCTCTTCAGCAAATCTACCATTATTGTATAAGAATGAAGATATCTTCGATATAAGCAAGCAGAACTCACTCTTACATTTCTTCCCCACCCAACAGACTCAGTGATTCAAATCTCTCCAAACTAGCGAGTGAGAAAATTAGTTGTTAACAGATTAACTGGTAGAAAAGCCACAAGAATCCAGGCCTACCTGCTCAACATGCTTCACAAGGTCGAGTTGAATACAAAATTTCTAACTGCTATTAATTATGGGGGGGAAAGCTTATACATTCATAAAAACAGCCACATCATAGCCACGGACACTGGCTAGTGCTTTCCTGAAGCAAAATTTCAATTCAGACTTATCTGCCCATGAAAACTTCACATTATGGATTTGGCATGCTAATCACGCATACAAATGCTAACATTGTAAAACCCAAACATCAGGAATAAAAAAAGCGAACATAAATCCCCCGCAAAATCCTAACTATATAACTTCCAAAAAGATTTGGAATCAGAGGAAATGTCGGGAAAGGAACACGAAATAAAGGGAGCCAATGCAACTACTCGCTTCTAAAATTAGAAGAGAAACTCATAATTAACTCCCCTATAAAATGGCCCCCAAAAAAATAAGGTGTGATAGTCATACCGTGTTAGATGCTACAAGTCTGTGGCGCTCAAACATCGGAGCCGCGGCCGGAGCCGACGCCATCTGTTCCAAAATTCAGCAAATAAAAAACCTTGGACATCAGATCACATTCTGAACCATCCAGATCTCATCGGAACTCCAGATTTCACCAACCCAACAAACAGCAAAAAGGCATTCGCCGGAAGCAAGAATTTCTGGTTAAAACAAATGCAAGTCATGCAGCGACTGCTCGATCCGGGCAATCGCGGCAAGAAAGGTAGTTCTTTCCAGTATCGGAAAAGGTACGGCAGGGTTTTGGGATGGGTAGGAGTCAAGGGAAAGTAAAAGAAAGGGGTTGATGGATGAGGCGGAGCAGAGGAGCAGATTGGTGATTGGAAAAAGACACACTCTTTCGCTCTCTCTATCTGCCCCCGTCCCGTCCTTGCGCCCACCTGTCTTCCTTCCAGGACAGACCAGCTAAGGTACCAACTGACCTTGAGGTTCTAAGCTTCTCTGGAAAGCTTTGAAAGGAAGGGGCGAAGAGGGGTTAGACCCTTTGGGATTAGGTGAACAGTATAGCCGTGATGTGATAATTGTTGTTGGGAGCAATAAGCAATTCTTTATATTTAGCTGGTTGTTACTAATATTTTCATATATCCATCTTCACAAATGAATTAATATTGACTATATTCTTCAAAAATATTATTGGATGCAAATAATATAAATGATAGTTGCACCTAAATATTCCTTAAGAGAATATTCTCCATTTCTTTGTACTAATATTGCAAGAAAAGAAATAAAATAAATTTGATGATTTTTTTAGAGGCTTAAAAATTCTAGAGCTATGAGTTTTTCTAGAGTTGGCTATATCATATGCATTTTGATGAATGTTGAGGAAAAAACTATGTATCATAAATGTTATGTGCTGAAATATGTTTGGCAATGTATAGTGATAAAAGAAATTATTGCAAGAGATACTAAAGTTTTTTTATTTGAAAACACCCAAAAGAGAAAAGATTATAGGACCTTTAGTTGAAATTATCAACAATGTAAGTAAAATTACAGTAGTTTGATTTTCATCTCAATTGAAGAAGACGGGATTACAAAGTTGAGAACACTGGATTGATCTCATGTGATTCAAATGAACTTCATGGAGAAGTGATATAGAGTAATGTTAGTTGAAAACGATAATGAATCTATGACAATTAAGTAAAGTCAGTCAAGCAATGGTGATCAATGATGTTAATTAGGTTACAATGTTTAGACATTGAAAATCAAGTGATAATGGTTAGATGACAGTGGTTGTTGTCATTGGCCATCAACGTTGATCATCAAATAGGGCTCTAGAGTTCCTTAGATCTCTAAATTCTCTCCAAAATCAGGTCAAAGCCCCCTTCATATGAAGAATGAAAATCTATTTATAATTTTTAGAAGCCACACTTTGGTTATTTTGGTCAAAATTCCTAAACAATCAATTGGATTGTTTGTGTTGATTTCATCGATCATACACTATTGCTTAAATATTTAAGTGCATTAATGACATCATATGAGCAATCTTAAGCTATTCAGATTTGCCTTATTGAGATGCTTATTTTGATTATATGCATGCAATATTTAGATATTATGCACACTATTCAAGATATAGTATTCATCCAGGGAGTAGTAAAATGTATAGCTATATGAAATGCATCATGATGTGGCCTGGATTAAAAAGAATATATCTTTTTTTTTTTAATATGAGGCTTGTCAGTTGGTGAAAATAGAACATCAACGACTAGGAGATTTTATGCAACCATTATCGATTCCATAATGAAAATGAGAAGAAGTAACAATTAATTTTGTTATGGGATTTCCTTGATCGAGGCAAGGACATGTTTCCATTTGAGTTATATTAGATCATCTAATGAAGTTTGCATGTTTTATTTTGATTCAATAGACTAATTTAGTAGATAAATTGGCATAGGTTTATGTGTGGGAAATTATCCTACTACATGGAATACCAAAAGCGATAGTTTTTAATATAGATGACAGATTTACTTTCAGGATGTGGTAAGATATTCAGTAAGGTATGAATATTAAATTACATTTTAGAATTGCTTTTCATCTGCATATTGATGGACAATTTGAGAGGATTATTCAAGTGTTAGAAGACCTTCTGAGGTAATGTATTTTGGACTTCAACAATAGCTAGGAAGATTATGTATCCCTGATTGAGTTTGCTTATAATAATAATATTCAATCAAGTATAGGTATGGCCCCATACGAAGCTCTATATGGTAGGAAATGCAGAATCCCTCAGTCGTGAATAGAGGTAGGTGAGAGAAGTCTAATTGGGCTAGCCTTAATTAATGATGTTACTGAAAAGATTTGTTTGATTATGGATAGATTAGAAGTTGTACATAACATATAGAAGTGATATTATGATGCCAAGCACATAGCAATAGAATTTTAGGTTGATAATTTGATGTAGGTGAAAATTTGACTAATGAAGGGCATCAGTAGCTTTGGAAATTAAGAAACACTAAATCCAAGATATGTAAGATCATTTAAAATCATTGAAAGGAACAAAAATTTTGCTTATATGTTACAGTTACCAAAACATATGACTAATGTTCATGATGCATTCCATGTGTCGTCCCTAAAAAGTGGGTATTTAATTTTGACCATCGAATGTTTGCAAAAGAGCTTGAAGTGCATATGATTTTGAGCTATAAAAAGGAACAAAAAAGTTTTTGGATTATGATGTTCAAAGGTTAAGAAATAAATAACTTTTAATGGTTAGAATATAATGGAAGCACATACAAAAAAGAAGCTACTCAGGAGGAGTTCAAGATGAGAAGAATCTATTTTGATGATTGTAATTCTAAAATGTCGAGGACAAGAATTTTTTGAGTGAAGAATTTTGCACCTATGGATTCACAGTATGTTATTATACCTGTTATGACCCAATTTGAAAAAGTTAATTTCCTAAATTCTACATTTGAACCCTCTTGCATGTGTATAAGAATATTTTACAAGCATATGAATTATTGAATCAAGTCTAGAGCAAGTCTCAGGAGTTTGTGTTCATGATCTAAAAAATATGTAAATTTTGCCATGAGGTGTCGTGGTGCTGGGGTAGGCAATGCTGTGAGTTTGAACTCTCGGCATTTTGCCTTTTTTAATTTGGATGTTATGGCACTAGGGAGGCGTTATGATGTCTGGTGCACCTAAAGGGAGCATTGTAGTGAGCATGGTTAAGCGTAATAGCGCTAGGCCTAATTTTATTATTAAAATATTCATTTCCATCAAATAAATTTATTTTTCTCATTTAAAACCGTTGGTTAGAAAGAGATAGAGAGTAGTTTTTTAGAAAGAGAAATCTATTATTTAGGTGGCTCCAACTCGCTTTTTATTATCAGCTCATTTTTGAAAGTTGTCTAGCTCGAGGTAAGTTATATTATGTCTATTTTAATTTTCAAAAATATGAAAATTTTGAAAATTTCCTAATTTGATTTATAAATTCGTTAGCAAAAAACTGGGATAACTTAATATCAGTAAAATTTTCACCACTTACCTTTTTGTATATTATTAATACAATCGTTCTAAACATTTAGGTATATTTTTGAGAAATTTTCATTCGGTAAATTGGAAAATGTGGGATTTTTCGAAAATTAAAAAATAATTCTTGATTTCAAAATAAAGCTATAGTACAATTAAACCTTCCAAATAGTATTATGAACAATTGAAGGTAATTTGATAATATTATGAAATTATTAAAAAATTTCTCAGTAGATATTTCTATTACTGATCGTTAAAGCATTTTATGAAATTGAAAATTGGGTTTCATTATATTTATTTTATTATAATGTAATTACATATATGCTTACATGCTTAAAATGTGTGATTTTGAAGAAATTTGGTGTGTGGGAAAAATTGTGTTGTAAAAGTCTATTCTTGTGTTATATTCACATTCTGGTGCTAAATGCATACTCTGGTTCTTAATGTCAGATATGTGATAGGCATTGAGAGTCATAAGGGCTCATTTTTTTATATGCTAGCATGAGAGTCATAAGTAGGGGTGTCAATTTGGGTCAACAAGTCGGGTTCGGGTCAAACTCGACTTGACCCAGTCGTAAATGGGTTAACACTAACCCGACCCATTTTTGCAAATGGGTCAGGTTTGTCAACCCGGACCCGACCTGTGCGGGTCACCGGGTTGACCTGACCCGACCCGCGAAGGAGATTTGATCAGAATTCGGGCAGTTCAAGCGAGGCCGAGAGCCACGGGAATGCGGCTATTGTGCGCTTGTGCGAACTGGTGTGGCTCCGCATTTTAACGCGAGGGAACAACTCCGTTGTTCGACGCGACTCGCCAAGGCAGGCGAGACCGGTGTTTAGGGTAGGCTTGCAGCTCCGGCGCTCCGTGATGTGCGCCTGGCGTGATGCTGGCACGATGTGTCTGGCACGATGCTGACCTATTTTTGGCTCCATAGTTCGATGAGAGGGAGGATGCGAGACCGGTGCAGACCTGCAAGACCGCGGAGAGTAGAGACGCGACCGAGTGCGACTGTGTGAGTCACGGATGTGATTCGCAAGGCGGGTTGGCGCCAGGTCAATTTTGGGTTACCAGGTTGACCCGGACCCGACCCATTTTTAAAACGGGTTGAAAATCGAAACCCGAACCCGACTCATTTGTTAAACGGGTTGACCCTAACCCGGATTTTTTGGGTCGGGTTCGGGTCGGGTTGTTGGGTCGGGTCAATAATTGACACCCCTAGTCATAAGGTCCTATTTTTAATAGAAGGTATAAGGGTTTGAGAAAAATCTGTTATTTTATGTTTTGATATGCAAAGTGCTTATTTTTTTTACGTGTAATGCACAATTTGCTTTATTTCAGATATTTGTAAGTAACATTATGCATACTCTAATACACTTCTTATGAGTTGCTTTTAAATTCAATAAAATGCATAATAAATGAATTGGTGGGTGTGACCTATTGAGCTATGTTGGCTCACACCCATTATATTTTCTATTTCAGGTCAGAGGAAAGAGAAAGAGCTCATTGAGTAGCAGGGTATTTAGTTTTTAATCTATTTAAGTCTAAAAAGGTTTTTTATTTTATTTTGTACAATCATGACTAATTTATTTTGTTAGTTCTTTTCTAGTTTTTAGTCATGTAATGTAGTGTAAACACTGTAAAAATATTTTGATAAAATAAAAGAAAATTTATGGATGATTTATTTTATTATGTTTACTACAGTTAATTATAAGCTTCACTATTTGTTTCAAATTTTAATTGGAAGAAATCTAAAAAATTCCCAAAACTTAACTCTTGGGTTTGACCTATCCTAATTCAATATGTGATATGATCTGTCTGTCTGTGGATCATATAAGGCTGGTTCTAAAATATTAGAATGACTTTTTTAATTAGATTTAAATGAGAATTTGATTCTTATCAGACACAATGGAAAAAAAGATTCATGTAGTCGACCCCACATAGTGAAATAAAGGCTTGATGTTATTGTTGTTGTATAGAAAATATATTTGGTTACCTTCAAAAAATTTATATAATAATGATATTATCTGGTGGCTTACAAAATTC